AATATGCTTTTTCCTTGGTTTTCTGTTGCTAAGTTTTTCTGTATTATTATCATCTGTCATTGTGGTTTGCAGGGTGTCTCTGATTTCGCTCCTTTCTAAACTGTCAGTACATCTTTATTTAAAGAGCTCTGTGAAGACGGATGTAAAGTTAAGTGTGTGCTTATGGGTTTTGCTGAATAGGGTCCCATATCCATAGGGATGACCCTGCAAACACTTAAGTGTGTGAGTTGACTTCTAAGGAACTACTCATGAATCAAGTTACTCACATGCTCAAGTGTTTGCAGGAGCAAGTCTTTAGCTGCTAAGAGGTAAATCCTGTCCATTCCTTTGTGGCTGAGAAGATTCCCTTGGCACAGGGACTGGTATGGTTCTGCTATCTCGATGGGGAGGATAGGGTTTGGGTTCCCATACAAGGTTTACGTGTGTGTGTGTGTGTGTGTGGGACAGAAGAGGGGAGTTGGATTAAGGGCAGTGCCTCTGCATAGATTATGCAGTCCTCCACCCTGCGTCAGGGCTGCCCAAGGAGCATTTCAGCCAATATGCAGCCACTCCACCGCCTGCTGGAGAGGATTCCTTCCCCCAACTCTTCTATGTATCTGCCCACCTCAGCTCCAGGATCAGGCACTACCTTGTGATGACAGCAAGAGCAAAATGCTAAAACAGGGATGGTAGACATTGCTCTAGTAAATATAGCAATGTTCTTTTGATTAATTTAAATAGTCTCTGGCTAACTCTTCATGAATTAGCCATTTCTAATTTTCTGCCTGGAACAGAATGACCATCTGTTGGAAAGGTAGCCAAGACTTCTGCTGTTTCCTTGTTTCATAGTAAAGTGGATTAATGCTTGGAGTTCATGAGCTAGCACAACCAAATTACTGCGCTGAAGACACTCATGACTGCAGCGGCTTATTAAACTACTGTGATCCATTTTGTGTTCTTTTATCTGCCTCGTTACTGCCACTGCAGTTTAACCAATAGAATATATATTTTAAAAGTCTATTACTTTGCATAAATATTTTTTGTTTAAATTCTCATTTTTTTTAGAAGCACAGTAGGAGCTTATTATGTATATACCATATTTCCATAAGGGAAAAGGAGATATCTTATGAGTAAGGTACAAGACTGGGAATCAGGCGACTTGGAGGTTTTATTTGCAGCTCTGCTACAAACTTCTTGTGTGACCTTGGGCATGTCAATTAACCTCTATACAAAATGCGGACAATAAAAGTTACCTACCACTCATTGGTTTTGTAAAGCTAGCTAAATGCTTTGAAGTTTGCAGAGTGTTTTGAGATTCTTGGTAAGCAGACATTATACAAATGCAAAGTGGTCTGGGTGTCCTGCCAGTGACTTGTAACCTTTTTGCTAGTTCTAAGCATTTATAATTTTTTTTATTTCTTTTTATTTATACTATAAAAATTGGTTATTTATATTATCCAAAAGGACTGAGGAGGAATTGGTGGGAACAGACTGTGAAAATAAAAAAGGGGAGTGGGTAAAAGGAGAATGAAATGGAAGGGGATAGAAAAAGAAAGAGGAAAGAAGTGAGACAAACACAAAGGATGAGGAGAGAGAGACTGGTAAGAGGGGATGAGAAGATGATGGAACCAACAGCCATTAGGAATTTATCAAGTCACAAAATTTATCAAGCATGTCTGATGAGCTGAGCTGGTCTCTCTAGGACCAATGGGGAAGACAGGGTCCTCAGAGGCACTGATGTAACCCTCCTCCCTGCACTTTTAGCTACTTTGAGAAAGGAAACACTAGGATAGCCTTAGCGTGCCCTTTGCAAACTCTTTGTGGCTGTTGATCCTGTTTTTGCCATGTGGGTAGGTGGAGGGGAAGAATCCTAGCCTCAATAAAAGTTGCAGATGCTTAGCAATACTTGGCCCATGATTGTTAATAATTATTTATCACTCTTATTATTAATCTATTTACACTTTTTCCAAAAGTCAAGGACAATGACACTGAGAAGCAGCAATTGGAAACCTGATCAAAGGACATATTTTTTACACTATTTATAATTAACCTATGGAACTAATTGGCACAAATTATCATTGAAACCATGAGGATCAGACATGTATGGGGATAATGGCAACATCCACAGTAACTTTACATTGGATAAGAAGTATGAGTGATATAAACACTAATACCTAAGGGCAGAAGCCAACCACTAACTACCTGGAGTTATCAAGAAGCTTTTCCTGTGGGTGGGTTTTTCCATTATTGTCCATTGCAGGGATTTTTGCACCCTCCTCTAAAGCACGTAGTATTGGTGACTCTGAGATAGGATACTGGACAACCTTATCTTCTACTTACTATGTTGGGTTCTAACACCAGGCCTCTCATTGTGGTGTCTGAATACTCATTGCACATACCACGTACTTCTTGTCTAGGGCCACTGCTGTGATCTGGAATGGCAATCTCTATATCCCAGTGTTATTTTCATTATTTATTACGATATTCTTATTTGAGGAAAAAGTAAAAGAGTTTTTTCCTCTCTTTATTTCTAAGTTCCTTCTTCAGACACTGTAAATAAAATTTCCGCAGACGTGTGTATTTCAATCCTACAACTTCTAAGATGGATATAACTTTTTGTATTTATAGCTGTTGGACAAGGTTTATCTCACTTTTTTTTGCTGTCACAAAAAGATAATGCTTTCTATTTGGGAGATTTACCAGAGATGCAGCAGTGGGTAACTGCCTGAATGAATAACGAACACATGTGAAAAGGAAATACAGAAAACAATGCTGCTGTTTTACTGAGAAATATAGATATCCTCTTAAGCTAGTTTAGAAGGTTAATTATGAGTAAAAAGTCATTACATGCATTTAAAAAACACTCTTGTTCAAGCTACTTTATCCTAGAATATACAGTTGAACAATATTAACCTTTCTCTTTAATAATTGGAAGACCCACTGAAAACTGCTGAATGTTGCAGATCAGTTAAGAATACTTTCTTAGGGAGCTTCGCATCCTGTTGGTTGTAACCACTGCCTGGAACAGTTCTGAATTATCTTCTTGAAAGCTGTTAGTTGAACACTCATGTTCTCTAATTGAAATGATCACTATCTAAAACCACAGTTCTACTAGGTGCTCTTTGTGCACAATCCCCATTGACTTCAATGCAGTTGAAGGGGCTCAGCATTTGTTAGAAGATGCAAAGCAGCTCACAGGATCAGGCCCTTAGGATGAAATTCACCCTTTACAGAGAGATATCCGAAGGTCTATGCATCATATGTGTCATTTAAGTCCTCAAAACTGGGCCTGAATGGGATTTAAGAGGGTTATAGGTTTTCTGCTGGCTCTCTGCATGGAGATAAATTTCTCCCTCAGTGAATAAACACAATAAAATGCAAAGATATTGCATCAGGGAATATACTTTATCTGTTCTGACAATTGTAATTCAATTTTAATTATTGATAGTACTTGATATTATTCATGTAAACATACTGTGAAAATAATGAAGTCTTAGTAATATGAGACCTTCCCGCAGCACTTTGCTGTAACGGGGAATGGCAAAGTAAAAGGGGAAATCAAGTTCATACCATAGATAAGTGCTAAGGACCTGATCCTGCAAATTCTAACACGTGCTCCATGGGACTATTTCTATGCCTAAAGTTAAATATGTTTGTAATCATTTTCAGCATCAGGGCCTAAATGATCCTGCTAACCATGTGCGTTTAGCACAATAATCTGTTTTAACAAACCTTTTGTTTTTCCTTCTATTCTGTGAAATATTTGTGGTATGTTTCAATTTGCTGCCGCTGTCATAGAATATGACATCACTAATACCGAGGCTGCCAATCCATAGTATTTGTAATGTCACAGATTGATGCATTCTGAGAGCCCATCAAAGAACACAAAGAGAAATTAGCAGATGGGGTAAACAAATAAAATAAAATAAAAACGTATTTGTTTCCTGGCACCCATCGACAGCCCCATGAATGGAGACAATTTAGCATATATTTATGGGTGTAACTCAGTGTTACACAGAACTCTTCTTCAGAGATTGGCATAAATTCAAAAGCTTGTCTCTTTCCCCAATGGAAGTTGGACCAATAAAAGATATTACCTCACCCACCTTGACTCTTTAATATCCTGGGACTGACACAATTACAACACTGCAAACAACATTATTATTAATTTTAACCATTGCTCCTTCCATTATATTTCATATAGACCAGGAATTCATGCAATTGAAAACTTACCTCTGCCTATTCTTTTTTCTTCTTTTGTTAAACCAGTACTCTGCTTTGTTTTATTGTTGTTTAAATGTTGTTTTTATTATATAATTGGTTGGCACAGCAGGCGACGTAAATAAGTTTGTAAATTGCTTGGGGCGTAGCCTATGGTTGCATTATCTGATGATGAAAATTGGCACCTCTAATGAGTCAGAGTTCAGAGGGAAGTGAAACACAAACCCACCTGCCAACTGTTTTTGTTTTTTCTCTCTTCCACAGCACGAATTATCAAAACAAAACAGTGGTGTGAAATGCTTCCATGTTTAGAAGGAGAAGGCTGTGATTTGCTAATCAATAAATCAGGCTGGACCTGTACACAACCGGGTGGGCGAATAAAGACAACCACGGTAAGCTACTTCCCTTTTGTTCCTCCTTATCTGTAACTTCCAAAGAGCAAAGGGTGAGACTTCAAATTTAGATGCCGCATAGGGTTTTAAAGTTAGACACCAGTTAGTAGCCCATGCTCACAAAGACCCATACTGAGACACACACATGTACTTTCACACCTGTGATCACAGACCGGAAAAGTGTGGCAGATTACAAAAAGGATGTAAAATGTCAAACTTTGACTTAAAAGGGTCCATAAATTCAGTCAGTAAAGATTGTCTCTTCACCTTTATTTCACTCTGGTGTGTATTCTGAACTGTGGGTAGAGCAAGGATATAAAATTTCATACTACTGATCTAATGGGGGGAAAATTAGTTCATATTTTTTTTAATAAAAGTAGTTTTGGCTTTTTCACTATAATAAAAAGGCAGTTTCCAAAGACAAATCTCCATCTTCCCAGAGGAAAATGTACGTGAGGCCTAAAGAAAACAAAACAATAAAACCCTTTTGGGGGGATAATCAGAACTTTGGCTCTAACTTGTCCATACTGTACTTTTCAACTCCTTGATGTCGTCTCCTGTTGTGTTTTGGATTTGTTTGAAGACGCTATATAGAGGTTGAATATGCCTACAACAGTGATGGCTCCCGGGACTTTTAGCATCATCAGTCTGTGGGACATTCTCCAAACCAATTGAAGACTCTTGTGCTTCAAAAATTTAAAACCTCCCAGGAGATATGGTAGAATAATACCCTGATAGGTTGCTATGCCATTAGGGATATTTTTTTCTATAGGTTTACAGGACTCTCAAGCTACATTTAAATAACTGACATTTCAAGAATGTTTCATCATAAAGATTTACTTCAAATCCTGCTTTATATGTTAACCTCAGTGTGCTTCAAATTAGTGAGGTTTAGCAGGGTTTGGGCACAGGCCTATCAAGCAGGATCTCCTGCATAGATTCTCTCTCTGGAGAGAGGTGAGGAGACACTATTGCATATTTTTTTAGTGTTTTTACAGTGTCAGTATTTTGACACAAAATCAACATGACCTTCACTTTTTAATTTTTTTTACCAATCTTTGAGAATAACATTTATTGTCAACTGACATTTACAAGCACAACCTATGAATTTGGTATTGTTCTAATGTAAGATCCTATGCCATCCTGACATCCCTGTAGTTGCTAGACATAGCAAGGTACATTATGGATAGTGTTGCAAACTTGCCTCTCAGTCTCCAAATCAGAACTTTAATCTTCATTTCCTTTAGGTCATATGAGTGTAATTTATGTAATGGTGATATAAAAATATAATAGAAGGAAACAATATCATCAGCTCCCAAGGGCAGGCAGACCTGACAGGGTATCTTTGGAACACTCACAATATTATTCAAAATCTCATTAATTCAGTGATATTTTCTGTGCCTCAGGTAAAGCAAATTACCTGTGTACCCTGATACATTTGCATCTATCATTATTATTGTTTGTTTTATCAGGATGCACCAGTGATATATGCTTGGTGCTATGAAAGATAAAAAGTAAGCACAGTGCCTACCCTGAGGAATTCATGTTAGATATCTATCAGATTGATTCAGTGGATCTCTTAGATTTGACACCAGGGCCTGATTCTGATCTCACACCTGCTTTACAACTGTTTAACTCTACTGACCTAAACAGAATTACTCTTGTTTTCAAGCACCATAAATGAGATCAGAAGCAGGACACATCCTGGGGAAATTATGGCAATGCTGAGCAAAGTCTTATTAAGAAGAATCTCTTCTGCGACAAGATACGCTCAACAGAGGAGAGAAAAGGACTTCTGTCCAACCCTGTCACAGCCCAGGCCCTTACCTAATTTAGAACAGTCTACAGCAGCTGGCTCAGATCCCTAAGAGACCATACAGCATCGGAGAATTGCCAGAGGGAAGTGCAATTCTACTCTAGCCCTTCTGTACCCCTCCCACTACATCTTCTCCCACCACCTTTGTGACCTCTAAGCTGAAGTGGAATGGGTGGGTGGGAGGGTGTGCACACATACATTAATTGTCTATTGATCCAAACTAACAGTTCAGGATGTTCCAAGGAACACTGGGTCCAGCATAAATGACCAAAAAAAATAGTACTTAAAAAAAAATCCAATTGCTTGATTTGGTGTGCAGGGGAGGGGTCAGAAAGCAAAAGAGCTGGAAACTTGGTTCATATGGGCTTCATAATGACTAATATAAACCCCTAAGAAAAGAGGATATATAATAGAAGCACCACCACTCTTCTTTGTAGCAATACCGCTTGAAGTAATAAAGTAAGTTATAGTTCTCTTCCTCGTCAGCCTACCTTACCTGCTAGAGCCATACTGCTCCTTGTTGAAAATATAAGTACAGCAAAGTACAGCCTGAGATGGGGTGATCAGGAACATTGTGGAATTAAGCTCCAAATACACAGAGAATATACAGCCCATTGTGGGTCTAATCCTCCTGTGGAAATAAGTGAATATTCTGCCATATATTCTAATGGGAGCGGGTTTGGGCCTAAATTAGTTAACCTACAATAATTTATGCAGGTGTTTGCAGGTAATATTAGGTTGTATCTGAAAGTGAAAGAGATACTAATACTGTACCTTTCACTACCAGAGCAGGGATAAGTTTCTGTAACACAAGATATCATATTACTGATATCATATCAGTAATTATATGCTGCACTATATGTACTATAACTGGTAAGTAGGAATGGAATTGAACACTTGAGGACTTAGATTAGCGCTTCCGTTTGTTATGACTCTTACACTGATGCCAGTTGTTAGTGTTTGTATATATCGCATTATAGGCACTTGTGTAAATAATATGATGTCAGGGCTTGGGCATAGAAGTGTGTGAAACGTGAAGCTAAATGGAGGCAGGTGATAAGTTTCCTCTCATGAGAATATTGACCCTAGAACCTATTTTTTTCCCATGAAAATGAGGCAGAAATAGAACTCTTGCCTGGATGAGTTTTACTAATGTGAACAGCATCACATTATGTAATAATGCTTAATATTTTATGTGCCAAATATCTAGGAAACTGCAAGCTTATCTAGTAAATACACTTTGCACCCACATGTTTCAGTGAATTGTGTTTCCTAGGAAGGGCTTTGGCTGGTGTCAAAATAGTTTTGTGTCAAAATAGTCAAGGCCTGATTTTTTCATTGCCTGCCTGCACTTTGTGTAAGCATTTATGCCTGTGCAACCAAATTGGAATTCTCTACTCACACTGGTGGCAGCCTTTTATGCCCATTTTGCACTCACTTTGCACAGCTGTAAATGACTACACAACGTGCCAGGGAAGGGAGAATCAGACCCAACATATATTCTAAATGGATCTGGATGTCACTTTTATGCCCTGTCAGCCTTTCTACAAGGTGTGAATGAACCAAGGATTTTTCATCCGGTAAGAGGCTTTTAGAATTGAAGATTGACTGGGCCAACTGCCAATCTATGTACTAAGCATATGATTGTCAATACAAGGAAACAATATGGCAGCTTACTAGAGGAGATGCTGTAGGAACAGAATACTTTGTAGTTGTTAACACTTTTAACAAAGTGATTCATGCTAAGTACTTTTATTTTTAAAATGCCTCTATTTAAAAAGCCTCTATGGTTATCTTCAAATCACCTGCCATGCAAAAATGTTCTGCTTTTTATATTTTCATTAATCTCCCAAATCTGATTTTTAAAATGAATTTACCTGACTCTCTCATGTGAGAAAGACTATGTAATTTCATCAATGCCAGAAGATGTGTCATGATTTCACCAGATACTGCTTAGAAACATGGCCCTTTTATATTTCAAGCATGAATCTTGCCAGTGTATAAATGAGGAGATACACAAATCTATTGGCTTTACAGGGGAGATTAATTTTAGCACCAAAGTGTATATATGTTGTCAATGATCCATCACTACTTAATTGTTACTTAATTAATTCCTTCTTTTACATGATGTGATTTCAATGCATGGAGCTCAACAGAACATTCATGCGCCAGTAGCTAACCTTTTAAAACCTCTGTGATTTTACTGCTAAATTAGCTGAAGTGGGAAATTAAGGAGTATGAAGAAGCTAAAAGAGAGCTCGCAGTGGATAAAAGGTGTAATTACTTTGACATGGAGCTCACTGCTTAGCTAGTAAAATTTACTAAGGATCTAGCTTCGCCAAGGGACGTGACTTTCTTAATAGAGTTTTCTTACGCACAGAGCAACTTAGCATTACTCACCATTAATATAAATGACATGCTGGCTGGCTTGGAAAGGTAATTTGTTCCTTACCCTGAGAAATACTAAAGTTGTTTGTATTGGCTGAAATTTAAATGAAAAATTTTCTGCAAATCTTTATCATACACAAATGTATGATTAAGGTAAATTGGACAAAATGTACTGGCTTGTTTTCATCATTGATTTACCAGCAATGTGGTGTTACTCATACCATTACAGTCTGTTTTCAAAGTAAAAATACATATTGCATATTGGATTTGAGAATTTACTTTTTTTTAGACTGAAGACCATCTGGAAATGTCCTGAGGCCATGGACTAGTGGTCTGAGCATGGGACTGGGAGCCAGAAACTCCTGAGCTCTAATCCCGGCTCTGACAGTCACTGCCTCTGTGGCCTTGGGTAAGTCACTGAACCTCTCTGCCTCAATTTCCCTAGTCATGCAGTAGGAGTAATAATACTTACCTACCTACATCAAAGGTGGATTGTGAGGTTTCCTTAAATAATACCTGTAATTACTTAGGAAATTCAGGGTGCTATACAAGTATTATTAATATAGTTGTTAGGCTCTGGAATTATACTAATTTCTCTCGCATTCATATAGCTAGGCTAGATCGGGTTCCAGTTCTGAGTTTTGCTAAACATACCTTTCACATTTCCACAGGGCAGCGGATATATATTTATGTCACCCTCCCAGCTCCATCTCCGCATGTTGTTTCACATGTGATTCTAGGATGTAATGCAAGGCCAGATGAAGGTAATTACAGGCTGTAGGCACACCACAGTTTG